TTTAAGTAACCACAAAGTGATTGAATATACATTAGTTTTGTTTGTTTGTTTTTTTTTAATCTTGGATTAAATCTGAAGATCTGCCTCTCTGTTTTCTCTGTTTTGTTCATTTTGAATTAGACTTTATAAGTTATCATTGTTGAAAAATGTTACCTGAAGATAGATAGATAGATGATAGCTAGATAAATAATAGATAGACAGATGATAGATTGTTGATTGTTAGCTAGATAAAAGATAGATGATAGATAGATAGTAGATAGATAGACAGATAGAGATGATAGACATAGATGATAGACGGATAGATATAGTTAGATAGATGATTGATAGATAATAGAGATAGATGATAGACAGATACACAGATAGAAGTAGATGATAGATAGACAGACAGATAGATATAGACAGATAAACCCATTGCCGTCAAGTCAATTTCGACTCATAGCAACCCTATAGGACAGAGTAGAACTGCCCCATAGGGTTTCCAAGGAGTAGCTGGTGGATTCAAACTACCAATCTTTTAGTTAGCGGCGGTAGGTCTTAACCACTTTGCCACCAGGGCTCCAGATGACAGAGAAGTGGATAGATTGATAGATAAATCGATAGATAGATGATAGATGATTTATAGATATATGATAGATAAATGGATAGGTGATTGATTGATAGATAGATAGATGAATGACAGATGTTAGCCAGATAGACAGACATAAATAGATAAAAGTGCATTATTGTTGTTGTTAGGTGCCTTCAAGTCAGTTCCGACTCATAGTGACCCGATGTACAACAGAAGGAAACACTGCCCAGTCCTGCACCATCCTCACAATCGTTATTATGCTTGAACCCATTGTTGCAGCCACTGCGTCAATCCATCTAGTTGATAGTCTTCATCTTTTTCGATGACCCTCTACTTTACCAAGCATGATGTCCTTCTCCAGGGACAGATCCCTCCTGAGAACATGTCCAGAGTGTGTGAGATGAAGTCTTGCCATTATTATGTGCACCTAAATGCATCATAAGGTCCCTGGGTGGTGCAAACAGTTTTCGCTTAACTACTAACCTAAAAGTTGGTGGTTTAAACCTACCTGGTGGTGCCGTGGAAGAAAAGGCCTAGCGATCTGCTTCTGTTAAGATTACAGCCAAGGAAATCTATGGAGCAATTCTACTGTGATACATAAGGTTGGCGTGAGTCATGATCAACTTAACAGCAACTCACAACAACAAATGAATCGTATTAATCTTTCAGTTTCATTGACTGATAATGCAAAGGTTTTGATAAAATGTGGCTTGTAAATTTCCACCTTCCCTAATGTCAATCAGTTTTACTTGAAAAATAATTGAATAATAGCCCATTTTAATATTTTTAAAAATACATTCAAAACCAGGGCTTAGAACCAGTTCTTCACAGTTCAGTCACGGCCAAGGAAGCAACACTGTAACAGCCCTGAATTTTTAGAAGTTGGGTGAACCAGAACGGGAAAAATTATAGGTCAAAGCCCTTCTAGAAACTTAATATCCCTCTTCAAAAACAAGGGCAGCATACGAGTTGCATAGCAACCAAATCTCTTGCCCATCGAATTTTGTGTAGAGTCAGAAACAGTGCTGCCCCACTCAAAGATGGCGGCAGACTGTGCTGCTTTGAATGTGTGTTGCTCTCCTCAGTCCTGGTAATAATCCAATCTCACACATCAGGCTCCTTGAAAGGGCTCGCTGTACCTCTTCCAAGTCTCCCATTCCAGGGCTTTGAGCCATAATTTTTCCCATTATGGTTACTGTTCCAGGATCACTCAAATTGTAAAAATTTGGGTCTATTTTGGTTTTACCTCATTGGCCATGACTGAACCAGTTCGAACTGGTTTAGAGCCCTGTTCAAAATCCACTGGAACTCTATCTTTAAAAAATTATTACAAAGATTTAAAAATTATATTTCCAAGTTATTGAAGTGTGTAGCTGTGTGGATTTTTATATCAATTTTGGCAGTAAAATTGCAAAATGATTGGAATACTCCTAAACATTTGTTTTCAAAATGCTCTCTCCTTAGCATAAGTTTATTTATAAATTCTTTCTCATTCATTGTTAAGTAGACGCACAATGCCAAGTTCTGGCAGGGATGTTTAGCGGCCTGACTTCCCATTTACTGCCAGTGGAACTGCAAATTGGTACAAGCACTGGGGAAACCTGTCTGTCAGCATCTACTGAAGCCAAACATACTGCACTTCATGACCCAGCACTGCTACTCTTGGGTGGATGCCCAACATGAACGACAACACGTTCGTGAAAACGTTCACAGCATCTTGGATCATGATAGCCAAACGCTGGAAAGAACTCAAAAGGCAACAACAGGAAAATGCTCATTTTCACTGTTGTGTAGTATTTCATATTTTATATGGCACAGTTTCCTATTCAAAATATCGTTTGACCAAACAGCAACATAGATGAACCTCATAGATATGAGGCTGAGCAAAGGAGTCAGGCAGGAAAGAGTACATGCTGATTCCATGTACATAAAGGTCAAGAACAGGCAGAGCTAAGCTAGATGACAGAGGATGATTGGCGGTTACTTTGGAAGGGGTGTGCTGACTGGGGGGTGGGACACACGGGATCCTTTCGGGGTGCCGGAGGTATTCGTAATACTTGTCTGGTCAGAGTTGCGCTGAAATGTACATATGTAAAAATTCACTGAGCTACACTCTTCAGCTTGTCATGGGCATTATGCTCTTCATTACTGAATATCACGGAGATTCCACCATTTACAGGTCTTGTTTTCACGCAGTTATCCATACCAATAAGGTGCTGGAGCAGTTAGACCACGACGGTACCTACAAGTTGTGGGGCAAACGCTCTTCCCTCAGGGTGAATCACTGTACCACAGGTGACAGACACATGGTTGCCTACCTGTCTTAGTTACCTAGTAGTGCCATTAAAAAAAAAAAAAAAAACAGAAGCTGGAGCTATGAAGAAAAGGAATTTTTTGTCTCACAGCTCTGGAGGCTGAAAGTTTAAATCAAGGTCTTGGTGGAGTCGACTCCTTCTGTGGCCTCTCTCCTAGTCTCTGGTATGTGCTGGTGATCTTTGGCGTTTCTTTGCTTGTAGACAGGTCTTCACATGGCATCTCTCTTCCCCGTGTGTGTCTGTCTATTCTGCTTTTTAGAACTCAGAAGTGATAAGGTTTAGGACCCACCCTACTCTGGTATGACCTCATTAACATAACAAGCAAAAGCCCTATTTCCAAATGAGGTTGTATGTACAGGTACATGGGTTAGAATGTTAACATAAGTCTTGGGGGTGGGGGACGGTACCACATAGTGCAAAGCCAATCGGAAAGGTAAGTATTAATCCAGTTAAGTTATTCCTCACGGTTAGCTACAATAAGTTGAAGTTTAAATGATTTCTTTCTATGCTGCAGTGAGTATTCTTGTGCCCTTCCCTCAATCCACCCCACACTCAGCTCTGCAGACGTGAGCGAGGGCCCATTATCCAATAGGCAAGGTAAGCACAGTACTTACCTTGCTTACCAGATCATCTGTAGGGAATAATTTCACATGGGTTTTACCACATTAAAGATTAGTAAATAAGCACAAGTAAGCCCTGCTTACCTTGCTTACTGGGTCATCCATCCCTGCCAGGGACTGTAAATTTGAAAAGAGGCTTTGATTCTGTAGGAAGGTGCTGTGAGGTTGGGAGAGAGACAGATACCAGCCATCCCGAGAAGCAGAATCTTTGATGTGGTGAAAAAATGTGAAATTGTTCACTATAGATGATCTGGTAAGCAAAGTGAGCACTGTGCATAGGCTGGGTTCTCTAGGGAAGTAAAACCAGTGAAACATATGTATGTATACATATAAAACCAGACCCATTGCAGTTGAGTCTGGAGAGAGAGAGAGTCCTTGTTTCTGCAACTGGTCATGTGATCATAGCTGTTATTTAGAACTACTTTCTTTCACCATTCATTCCTTATTCCCTTCACCCTCAGCAAGCACCTCAGTGGGTCCTGGTTCTTTGCCTGGTGGGGAAATTGGATAATCCACTCCTGGACATAAGTCAGGGGAGGGTTGTCCTCCGGGACAATCAGCGGGCTGTTTGCTCAGTAACTTCCCCAAAGGAGAAACGGAAGGTGGTGATTCAGAGCAGGGGTCGGCAAGCTTCTTCCATCAAGGCCCAGGCAGGAAACACTTCAGGCTCTGTGCGCCAGGCCCTCTCAGCTGCGTCCCCTCAACTCTGCTGCTGTAGCAGCAAGAGGGCAGTCGTAGACAATATGTGAATAAATGGGTGTCGCCGAGTGCCAACAAAACTTTATTTATGGACTGAATTTGAATTTCATACCATTTTCACACGTCACAAAATATTATTCTTCTCGTGATTTTTTTTTCAACCATTGGAAAATGTAAAAATCATCCGTAGTTCCTGGGCCATCTGAAAACGGGCGAGGGCTGTTCTCAGGACTTGGTTTGCTGACCCAGATTCAGACTCACGTATTTCTAAGTGATCGTCACCACTTCTTCAGTTCTGAGACCCACAGGAATACACAGCACTGTTACTGGCAGGTGGTCAACTCAGCCTGCTGAAAGGGAGCTTTCACTTACTGCTCCCTTAAGAAACACAGATGATTAAGTTTAATATCAAAGGCTTTGTTCTCTCGTCGATACGATTGTAACAGCAGCAGTTCTAATAAAAGAAGTTGAGTTTGCAAGAGATTCTACCGAGACGTTGGAGGCTTGGGTATCATTAGCCACGGTGTCGGTAAGAATCCAGCACTTTTCTGCAGATTTTAGTTCAAATTTAGTAAACAACAACAACAAAAAAAGAAACACAAAGCTTTCTGTTTGGAAATTGAGAATGATGAAATGGCCGAGGCAGTGGAGCACCAGTGTGTCTGAGGCTCCCACCTGGGTGTCGTGGGTCCTGACGCCAAGGGAGTGTGTGTCATTGACATCCCTGAGGGTCAGGGTTCTCAGAAAAGACACGTTTCTAACTCCAACCCCACCCCCCTTTTCTGTCTTGTGCTTCAGGAGAAAGGACGCCGGCTTCCTGTCCTACAAAGACCACCTGCCCGTCAGCCAGGTGGTGGTCGGAGACACGGACCGGCCGGGCTCCGAGGCCAAGCTGAGCGTGGGCCCGCTGCGCTGCCAAGGAGACAGTAAGTTTTCGGGCATCGCAGCCTACCTTTCTGATCACATCGAAGAGGTTCTGGCTCCTGGAGGGGTGGACTCAGACCTCTGCTGTCACCCCTAGAGAAACCTCAGAGTCGCAGGCGGAGCCCAGTGCAGGGCTGGCTAGGACTCACCCTAGAGGACCGGCCGGGAGGTCTCCACCCCAGGAGCCTAGGTGCGGGCGTCGAGTGTGGACGTCGTCTTCCTGTGTGTTCAGATGTGACAAGTCTGATACCTGTGTTCCTGGTGATATAAATAGCAATGCTGAGAGCACACAGAGGCCCTCAACAGCTGGGCCGCCATTGAGCGGCTGTTAATGCCATTAGCGTGACTCTATCACCATCGAGTGGGTTTATGGCGGTATAAATAGTCGAGTTATGGCTTAATGTATCACTGTAAACTTGGATGATGACCATATAAAGTCTGACATTATTGCTATCAAATTCCATCATAATTAGAGCTCGGTGGTCCTTGGTAAACAGAGATTGTTTCTATGATTCTAGCTTGCGCTCACGATCGGGAATCAGGGCTGCTAGCTCAGACGGTGGGAGTTGGGGAGTCGGAGGGATGGTCCCGCCGATTAACGGCTGCGTTAAGATTTTATGTTGGCTGTTGCCCTTCAGTGTGCTTTATGTGCAGACGGAGAGGGACGGCGAATGGCAGGTTGCCATGACGACTCCAGGATGAGCACCCTGGGTCTCATTTTCCTTCTGCGCAGGGGCTGGGGCACCTCCCGGGGAGCTGTCTGCATGTGTGACTGTGTGCGGGGTGTCAGGAGATCTAGATTCTGTTCTCCAATGACAGGGCCTGGAGACCTCAGGCAGGAACCGTTTTCTCAGCGGGTAATGAGAACACCACCTGCGTCCCCGCTCCTCCTGGGCGGCCATAAAGGTTTTAGTGTCTGCATGTGGCTTCCTCCAGGAAAAGTATTTTGTGAGACGGAATATTACTGCCACTCCTGTAAACAAGGCAGAGTTAGACTTACACGACAATAAATGATCGACCCACGTCATGTGGTGTGTCTAAGGAGCGTAATGAGGCACGTGTGACCATTCACCACTCAGTACACGGCGCCTGTCGGCAATTGGGCAACGCCGTGTTCCGACGCGGAGGGCGACGGACAGAGTGCGCGCTAGCTTTGCTCTTCCTTCGCGGAGGAAAATATGAGCTCTGCCTTCACAGTTGAGACCGATCTAAGGAGAGTTTCTTTGTGCATTTATTGAACAATGGTGCCTCATTTGTCTGGTCAGGCTTAAGAGAACGCTTCAGTAAGAAATTTAATTTTAACTGCTTCAGGGAAAGGTATGAGGACATAAAATAAGAATACTCATTTTTAAACAACCACTCTGAGGTGACTTACTGCGTCACTCTCCCATTAGCTCTGTGTCTGATGAAAACCAGTTTCATCACGTCATAATTACTCCTATTGTCATATTAAGGTAAAATATTTCTACTTATCGGTTCTAATTCTGAAGTTAGCTTTGCATTAGAGAAAGGGTACCTGCTCAATATTGATCTGCCTAATATAGTTATAAAAGTCCCACTTCTGCAAACCTTTCGTTAACCATTCGGAAAGTGAAGATCCCAGCAACACTGAACAGTGTATTAATAGTTTATAGCTAATATTGTTTTCTCTTCATCAAGACACTGATCCACAGGAAGAATTTACATGTGTGTCTGTTATTTGTCTAGCACTAAGGAGCCCTGATGGTTCGGTGGTTAAGAGCTTGGCTGCTAACCAAAAGGTCGGCAGTTAGAATCCACCAGCCACTCGTTGGTAAGCCCTATGGGGGCAGTTCTACTCTGTCCTGTAGGGTGGTTTGAGTTGGAATTGACTCGGTAACACTGTTTTTTGTTTTTGGTTTACTAAGTACTCTGGGGAATAAGAAAAAAGAGTTTAAACCACATTTTTGAGAAATGCATATAAAAAACTAAAACAAAATGTGTTATAATTAAGTATTAGATTGTATAATATAAAATCATGGCAACCGATGCTCAAAGAAGGCGCGATAGATGGTGTATTTCAGGCAGGGTTTATTTTTTAAGAGAAGGTCGACAAAGAAAGATCTGGCGGCCAGTGTCCATTTCTATTCCAAGGTCGATGCTCTTAGAGATGATTTTAGGGCTTGTTGATAGAAGACACCACTTTTGTATTTACTGACACTGAATGACGTACGTAACCTTGCCGTCCTGAAGCTTCACAGACTTTTTTTTATGATTCTATTTTTTCTAGTTGTTTTTTTATAATCAAATGGCATTATACTTTATTACCACTGACTGGCATTTGTGCATGCAAATCTACTGTGTATACATGTGTTTAAAAACTTTTACATCTATCACTTTATTATAGTCAGTTATTTCTAGATTATGGTCCCTGGGTGGCACAAATGGTTTCTGCTGACTCCCAACCTAAAGGTTGGCCCTTTGACCCTCCCCAGTGGTACTGAGGAAGAAAAGGCTTTAAGATCTACTTCTGTAAAGATTAAAGCCAAGAAAACCCTATGGGGCAGTTCGACTCTGTAACACATGGGGTCACCACGTGTCGGGGACTGACTCAATGGCAGCTAGCAACAACGATTTCTAAAATTTGGATTCTTGGCAACTTTCACTCTTTCTTGGTTAAATACGTTGCAAATACTGTCTGCTATGTGGTTCGCCTTTTCACTCTCTTAATTATTTTCCCTTTCACTACTGATCTACCATGTATCAAAACTTGTTTTTTGGTTATGGTGTGAGGTAGAGGGAAAGTCATATTATTTTTTCTCAATGAAAATTTTTATAGCTAATTTGTTTAGTAGTTTTAGAAATAGTCTGATTTTCTATTTTCCATGTGTCAATTTTGTCAACTTGCATATTTTCATGATTTGTCCATTCCATATAACTTTCAAAGCTGTTGGTACAAAAGTTTTCATTGTATCATCTTATGATACTCTTAATGTCTGCAGGATCTGTAGTTATGTCTCCTTTTCATTCCTGATGTTAGTTATTTGTATGTATGCCTTTTTCTTCTTCTTCTTTTATATTTATTGATTTTTTTTTCTTTTAAGCAATAACTCTCCATTCATCCTCCCTTCAACCCCTCGTAACCTCTAATCTACTTTTGTCTCAATGCATTTGCCTGTTCTAGATATTCCATATAAATGGAATCATACCATCTTTGTCTTTTTGTCTCTGACTTATTTCATTCAGCATGATGTTTTCAAGGTTCATCCATGTTGTGGCATATGGATCAGTACTTCATTTCTCTTTATGGCTGAGTAACACTCCACTGTATGGATGCACCACATTTAGTGTATCGTTCATCTGTTGATGGACATTTAGGTTATTTCCACCTTTTAGATATTGTGGATAATGTTGCAGTGAACACTGCTGTGCATATATGTGTTTGAGTCTCTACTTTCAAGTCTCTTGGGTATGTACCTAGGAGTGCAATTGCTGGGTCATATATAATTCTGTGTTTAACTTTTTGAGGAATTGCCAAACTGTTTTCCATGGCAGCTGTACAAGGAGACTTTTTAATATCATGTTTTACCTTAATACTTCATGAAAAAAAAAAGTATAGTCAATATTTAATTGCAGTAATTTGGACTGCTTTTATTAGAGAGAGAGACAGACAGACAGACATGTTTTCCCCAGACAACTGAGAATGTCTATTGTAACTTGTGCTTCGATTGCCAGGCAGCAGCCAACTGCTTTGAAGCCCACTTTCACTTCGAGAATGTTCTACCATAGCCACAGTATGATAGAGTGCTTCATGTCAACATCTCCCATTTTTTTCACACATATTATCTCCTTGGATACTCACAGACCCTGTGAGAGGGGTAAAATGCATAGTAGCCCTTCTGGTTTACAAATGAAAAAAATACTTCTAAAATGTCATTTACACTTTCTTTTCTTACAATAAACTTCTGAAAACCTGCTCAGCCTCCAGGAGGAAAGATAGAGAAAAAGTAAACAGCTTTCTCTGCACAGGTCAGAGCTACTGCCCTGCATCCATTCTCTCCCCCAGCCAACTGCTGAGTAAATTAAACGTGTTTCAAAAACGTGATATTTAGGTCTTATTCCTCCCCCCTTCTACCCACCCCCACATCCAGTTACCAGTATGGCATGAGTGCTGGGGATTATATCTAGATATTTTAAAAAGTGGTACAATGTATTCATTCTGTTGTGGCTAGGGTTAATTTACTTTGTGTCATTTACTGAAGACTATTCCAAGTTACTATGTCCCCGGTTGGAGCAAATGGTTTGTGGTTTGCTCTTGACTGGTAACCTAAAGGTTGACAGTTCGAACCCACCCAGCGGTGCCACGCAAGAAACACCTGGTGATCTGCTTCTGTAAAGATTGTTGTTGTTAGTTGCCATTGAGTCAGCTCCAACTCCTGGTGACCCCAAGTGTGCAGAGCAGAACTCCTCCACCGGGTTTTCAAGGCTGTGACCTTTCAGAAGCAGATTGCCAGGCTTATCTCCCGCAACAACTCTGGGTGGTTTTGAACCACCAACCTTTAGGCTAGTAGTGGAACGCTTAACCATCTGCGCCACCCAGGGACCCCTTCCATAAAGATTACAGCCGATAAAACCCCGTGGAGCACAGTTCTACTCTGTAACACACGGGGCCGTCATGAATAAGAACTGACCGCTGTCCGCGGTCTCGGCTTTCATCATGCTGCTGAGCCTCATTTTTACTCCAGTTCTTCTGAACTCATAGACCCGTATGATGAAAACTGTAAAGGAAATCAGCGGGCGCTCTGGTTTGCTGCATTTCCCGAAGAGTTGAGGCCCTGGCTGTGTTTTCTGCAAACACCTTTAAATGGAAACCGAAAATCTAGTTCAAACTCAAAGTGTGACTGGTGATGGGCACTGAGCTAGGATGGAAAGAGCACAAAGTTACCAGCCCCTTCAACAATGTGAGCTCGCCTGGGAAGAAACAAGAGAACCACTGAGAAGATAAAAACAATTGATTAGATGCAAGTTAATTCATGTTTAAATA